TAATTCTTCAGTTTAGAAACAGAAATCTCCATTTCATGAATGAGATGTTTTCATTAGCATTTAGATGAGGTAGATATGCATCAGTCAAATGATCATGACACTTTTTTAATCTCTTAAATTACACTATATTCTTGTGTTAGGCCGGCTCACCCTGAACCGGCTCATCCGGCCTTTTAGGTCTACAGGAAGCGGCACTTGTCCGCCTCCCTTCCTTCTTGCCGCCCACATTAGTGGGCCCCACTAGTCCAAATTGAATTCAAATTGTATAGGAGGGGGGCGGCTAGGGCTTGGGTGGGATTTTAAATTAGGAAAGTTTATGTATTAAAGAGCATGAGATATTTTAGGGGGATTTATGTTTTGTTTTGTTGTCTATTAGGGCTCTTTGGCGACTTGGGTTGTAGACTCTCTTGTCTAGAGATTTGGGAGAGACGATCTCCTCCTCTTGAAGTGATGATCACTTGTATCTTGTTTCCGTGCTTGTTTGACTTTGATTTTCGTATTGCAATCTATCGTTTGTACTGATTTCTCCCAGATTTTGTGCTATTCTCACTGTTTTTCACCAATTGGTGATAAGTTTGCTTGCGAACTCAAGTATTACCATTCGCGTTACTTGCGAACTCAAGTATTTCCTATCATCTTGCAAGCAAAGCTAGCATTGTACATTAGATATTTAGAAGAATTCTGCATGATAAGCCATACTTCACCATTCTCTTCCTTTTTTCGCCTCTATGTCTCATCTCTTCTTCTCTGTTGTGAACTCAGAAATTAACTTTGTTCTATCTGAAATAGGTTCCAGCGGATAAAGGTGAGAGATCAGACACTTCTGCTACTTCCTCTTTGAGACGTTCAAGCCGGCTCCAAAATCGAAATCGAAATCGAGTAATCTGTCCATGACCTTTTGTAGTTTGGCCTTTGGCAAAACTTCAAACTGTGCATGAGTGGCCTGGGAAACAGCTGCCTGTTGTTTCTTGTTCTTAGTTAACTTTCAGAAGTTATGAGATAAACTACCTTAACGGATTGACTAATTTTCTTTTGGCACCTCTGAATTGTATTTTATTAGCTATATGAAAGCAAGCATTTGTTGCACTGATATGAATGAAAACTAAGACTTTCATGGTGGCCCTGGAAACACCTATCTGTTGTCTCTCATACAAGTTAATTAATCTTACCTATTCATCTTGTTCTTAAGCTTCGTTTGGAGAAGCGTTTGATTATTATTTTTTTACTGTTTTTAAAATGTTTTTTCACCAAAAAATAGTTTTAAAAAGCAGAAATAAGAAAACTATCCCAAATGAAATCGTAATAGCAATATGAAGATCAAGAGTTTAAATATCAAATGCCATTTCTTTTTTATGATGTCTTGGTACCACTGAGGAAAATAATTTGTGAAGTAGTAGATCTTGTTTTGATGATTATACATTTATACATATAAATTCGCACAAGTTTGTGACTGAAAACTAGTACATTTGTAAGCAAAATAATTTGTGAAATAGTTGGCCTTGCTTTGATTATTATAGATGTAAATCACAGTACTGTTTGTGACTGGAAAATCTGTATAGTTTTCTTGACTAAAAAATAGATTATCTGAGAATAATTATCTTTTAATGCATGGCATTCATGGAAACCATTACAATTACAATTACAAAGATACTTTGCTCCCTTATACACAGCTTCTTGCTATATTCAAATTTATCTCTAGATTACCTTCCCTTAGTCTTCACCTTGATGAAAGGTTGTACGGGTGCAAAATTAATATGATCATATTATACATTAAGGTTTCGTTTGGAACGGCTTCTTTACTGTTTCTTAAAACAATTTTTTAGTATTAATATTTATTTTTTATACTAAAAAGCTACTTTAAGAAGCAGAAAGAAAGTCATCCCAAATGAAGTCTAAGAAAGCCTATAAGGCCTGTGTAATAAGAAATGTTGGACATGAATCATTAATGAATATATATAAAAGGTAGGTGTTATATATATATATATATATATATTTCATTAGTTTTTATATAGGAGCTAGAAGAAATTAATAATTTTAATTGATATAACACATCATGTTACATCATGCGAATCAAAATAATCAAGCTAAAAATTCAATTACAAAAATTAAGGCTAAAATAAAAATAAAAATTTATTCTTTTTATTTTTATTTTCTATTCAAAGACTTGTATTGCCAACCATAACATAATTTGAAATAATAGAAAATATTAAAAATGAGTACATCCATTAGAAAATGCTCTCACTAAGCATGAAAAAAAAAAAAAAAAAATCTTGCTGAAAAAATTGCAGGAGATCCATAAACTAATAGCTTTATTTCTTCAATCATAACATAACAAATGTTCAAAAGCTAATAAATAATGAAAAGATCTCCATAATTAGATGCTTATAGATGTCTTGCACTATTTTAACAATCCCAAGCCAATGTAATGCATGTAACTATTACATGTAGATCCTTAACAATTTGTTTGATGCTTAATGCCATGAAAACCTACTATATGTATTAATATTAATATATTCCGCCATAGCACAAGGTTTAGATTTATATTCAACTTCTTCCATTAATTAAAATATTAAATTCATTCAATAAGCATCAAGAATTAGAACCATTAGAGCAGGTGAGAAAATTTGAATAAAATAGCATTTTTGCATAACTTCTTTTTAAAATATTTTTAGGAAGGGCTCCTTATAACTTTGTGAAAGAAAAAAAAAACTTCATTTAAGACAACTTTTTTTTACTAATTTATAAAATATTTTTTAATAATTTTTTTAAAAATGAAAAAAATATTGATCAAAAGCTGTCTCAAATAAATCTAAGTTCCCATGAAAAATAGTAATTGGGCAAAAAGTATTCTCCGCTAAGATCAAAGATCTTTCTAAGCTTTATGTGAATCACCTCATATTAATAGCAGAAAGTAGCACTGCTAAATATTTTAAATTGAAATATACACCTTAGCTTTCATATGATATATCAGAACACATTAAACCACCTAAACAAGGTGAAAAAAAGATCTACTAAAAATCAATGCACAAATATCAGTAGCACTGTCAAGAAAGATCTATTATTCTGTACGGACACCAGACGATTCTTCGATCTGATTAAACGCTCAGTACTGAACGGTCCGATTAAGAGCTCGGTACCGAGCTCTACCGAGTGCGGGTACCGAGCTTGGTACCAAGCACGGTACATTTTTGAAGTGACGTGGTGCATTTTTATTAGTCTCTGAACTCCGCACACCGCACAGAATAATAAATCGTCAAGAAAACTTATGAACATCCAATAGATGACAAGCCATCCGAATCAATGTGACTAAAAAACTTCTGCAGAAGAAAGTATAGCCTTTCAAGAAAGTTGGGGCCAGAGGAAATTTGAACATTAATAAAACATCAAAAACAGCCAAAATATAGAACAAATGTATAAATTATTGCTAGAAAGAGCAAAAGCAAGAAACCAAAAAGAGTGCAATACAATCCACAAGTCAATCAAATAGGTATAGGTGCGCTCTATCACCACTTAGAAGTAGCAAAACCCATCAAATACAAAAACACATAGCGAGCAAACCAGTATTTTTTTTTTTTTTTGACTGAAAATGGGGGCATTTAAGCGATAAATTTCAGTACATGTTCCCCATAAAAACCAAAATGGATTCGAATAAGTTATTGATTGGTGTGTAGATGCAAGCCCATGTGGAGGAAATACAAATCTCAAGATAAAACTTAAAAACCTTGTTCGAGAAGATAATCGCCGAGCCTCTCAACGACCATGTTGCACTGTCCAGGAGTCATTGGCTCATCATAAATGCCTATGATCAAAGCCAGGTTTGTCTTCTTGATGGTAATGCCTCCAGATCCCTGCCAACAGTTCATAGAAAAATAGTTATGTAAAAATATTAATCTAGGCAGACCTAGATAAAAAAAAAAAAACTTCAAAAAGAAGTCACATACATCCAATCTAATCTTCATATCATATTTGCATATGAATACTTTTTCTAAATATTGCATTATATCTTTAATTAATGTAAAGACTCATTTAAATACTTTGCAATATTTATTTATTAGAATAATTTGAACAAACAAAAATATCCGCCATCTTTATAGTATATATTCCAAAATGAAATTTTTTATTTCTATATTTAAATTTTTTTGTTCTTTCATTCAAAAGATAAAGCATTAATAAATTTTATTCTTCTAAATTCAGCCCTAGGCTATATTAGAAGAGTCAATATATAACACAACACGAAAATCCGACCTGGGTCTGACTCGAAAATTTCGAGTTCGGGTCGACCCGTTTAACAAACAGATCAGATTTGGATTTAATTTTTTGACCCGATTGGCATATTGGGTTGGGGTTCGAGTTAACACGTGAATCCGAACACAACCTGTTTGACCCGCCCTCGCTTGGTCGCATTACGCCTTGCCCGTCCGAGTCGCACTCGCCCTCACTCATTTGAACTCAACCGGGTTAGCAGGTCGGGTGGAGTTTGGGTCTAGATTTCTAACCCGTTTGAATAAACAGGTCGAGTTTAGGTCGGACATGTTAAGAGTGGATCAAATATCGGTTTTGACCCGAACCAACCCGAAAATCTATTTTGACACTTAGTTTCAAGAATTATAATATTTTTTTTTTCTTCTCCCATGCATTGCATGGGATTATTTTTTTGCATGGGTAAATATATTTAAAATGAGGAAAATAGTGAGGACAAAAGCTTCTATCCCTATCGTGCATTTGTGTGCATGTATTGGTGTTTGTTTCTACGAATATGACATGAGATTTTTAATGAAAATAAAATATATCACAGGATAACACTCAACAATGGTGGGGTCTTAACACTCAATATATATATATATATATATATATATCAAGAAAACTTATGAACATCCAATAGATGACAAGCCATCCGAATCAATGTGACTAAAAAACTTCTGCAGAAGAAAGTATAGCCTTTCAAGAAAGTTGGGGCCAGAGGAAATTTGAACATTAATAAAACATCAAAAACAGCCAAAATATAGAACAAATGTATAAATTATTGCTAGAAAGAGCAAAAGCAAGAAACCAAAAAGAGTGCAATACAATCCACAAGTCAATCAAATAGGTATAGGTGCGCTCTATCACCACTTAGAAGTAGCAAAACCCATCAAATACAAAAATACATAGCGAGCAAACCAGTATTTTTTTTTTTTTTTGACTGAAAATGGGGGCATTTAAGCGATAAATTTCAGTACATGTTCCCCATAAAAACCAAAATGGATTCGAATAAGTTATTGATTGGTGTGTAGATCCAAGCCCATGTGGAGGAAATACAAATCTCAGAGATAAAACTTAAAAACCTTGTTCGAGAAGATAATCGCCGAGCCTCTCAACGACCATGTTGCACTGTCCAGGAGTCATTGGCTCATCATAAATGCCTATGATCAAAGCCAGGTTTGTCTTCTTGATGGTAATGCCTCCAGATCCCTGCCAACAGTTCATAGAAAAATAGTTATGTAAAAATATTAATCTAGGCAGACCTAGATAAAAAAAAAAAAAAACTTCAAAAAGAAGTCACATACATCCAATCTAATCTTCATATCATATTTGCATATGAATACTTTTTCTAAATATTGCATTATATCTTTAATTAATGTAAAGACTCATTTAAATACTTTGCAATATTTATTTATAAGAATAATTTGAACAAACAAAAATATCCGCCATCTTTAAAGTATAGTATTCCAAAATGAAATTCTTTCTTTCTATATTTAAATTTTTTTGTACTTTCATTCAAAAGATAAAGCATTAATAAATTTTATTCTTCTAAATTCAGCCCTAGGCTATATTAGAAGTGTCAATATATAACACAACACGAAAATCCGACCTGGGTCTGACTCGAAAATTTTGAGTTCGGGTCGACCCGTTTAACAAACAGATCAGATTTGGATTTAATTTATTGACCCGATTGGCATATTGGGTTGGGGTTCGAGTTAACACGTGAATTCGAACACAACCTGTTTGACCCGCCCTCGCTCGATCGCATCACGCCTTGCCCGTCCGAGTCGCACTCGCCCTCACTCATTTGAACTCAACCGGGTTAGCAGGTCGGGTGGAGTTTGGGTCTAGATTTCTAACCTGTTTGAATAAACAAGTCGAGTTTAGGTCGGACATGTTAAGAGTGGATCAAATTTGGGGTTTGATCCGAACCGGCCCGAAAACCTATTTTGACACTTAGTTTCAAGAATTATAATATCTTTTTTCTTCTCCCATGCATTGCATGGGATTATTTTTTTTGCATGGGTACATATATTTAAAATGAGGAAAAAATAGTGAGGACAAAAGCTTCCATCCCTATCGTGCATTTGTGTGCATGTATTGGTGTTTGTTTCTACGAATATATATATAATCTCATGTCATCATATATATATTAAGAATAGCATAACTCGACTCTCAGATTTTGAACACTATTATAAGCCAACTCACAGAAAAAAGGATTATCCTAAGATTCAGAAGGAAGAAATTTATTTCAGGGCCAACTTATACACACGCAAATGAACACATATTGTCAGAGTCCCGTTATATTGGCAAGACATAAAACTAATTAGTTTACATGGCCATCAAGATTATTTTCTAATCATGTATTAACAAAAAAACTGGCAGAGGGAACTTTTCAATTTACCTTCTTTCCACGAATGACTGCCCCAGGTTCACCTTGAATAACCATATATTTAGTGTTGCCAACGTATAAACCAGTTGGTGCAAGATACCCTGGTTCACTGAAGTCATTCATAATGCCATTAATTTCTTCAGGCTTGTACTGAAAATCAAACAAATAAACAAATTAAGAGAATGCATCTGCAGTGCAAACAAGTTTAAATGGACCAGCTACATAAATTTAATGTAGAAATCGCATTCCAAGAAAAATGAATCATAGAAATTGATTATGGAAAAATACAGAATATTTGATATCTGAAATCTTATACAATTAAATACAATAAAAGACTACGAGATAGATAATTTTAATATCAAAATTTAAATTCCACAAAAAATTAGTACTTATCACATGCACATCTTTTGAAATCAGTTTAGGTATTATACAGTTAACTTCAAGTTTGAGTCATAGAAATATCGCATGATTCGTTGCTCAGCCTCCTAAATTTAGACCAAGAATATTTCTACCAGTCTAATAGTAGCCCAAATATTGACAACTAAAGTCTTATGGTAGAAGAAGCTAGAATATAAGAGCAGCATTATTTGCTGTAATCGAGAAAAAAAAAACATAATCTTTAATTCATTACCATTTGCAATATATGTTCAAGAAGTTGTTTATAGGGGTATCAATATTTGACCCCAACCAAAAATTCTAGGTTTGGGTGAACTTGTTTGCCAACGGATCGGTTCGGGTCAACCTGAAATCAACCTAGTCACCCCCCTTGCCCGAAGCATCCAGTGCTCGAACCCGCTCCTACTGCTGCGCCCACACCTGCGCTCACCCGCAGCAGTCCCGTGCCCACACCTGCACTCTCTTGTAGGCCGCAGCAGTCTCGCACTCACCCCCTTCGACCGCAAGCCCTCGTGCCGACACCGTTTTCGCCTAGCTGCTTAAGGTTTGAATTTCTGACCTGTTTGCCTAATCGGTTTGGGTCAATTGAAGCTGGGTCAATTTTGAGTTGGACCTAAACCCGACCCAAAAGCCCATTTTGACACTCCTAGTTGTTTATATGTCCCTCAGGAGGAAAAGCATGGTGTTTTAGGCATTTAATTTTATAAGGATATAGAAGCATATTGGCATGTCCATGTCAAAAAGTGAGTTCGCTGCCATGTGCACATGAATTAGCAAGTATACTGTCAGGCATTCTTATCAAAAACACCTAATTCAAGATTTGAAATAGTAGTTTCACCATAATAGTTTTGAATAGTTTAAAATAAACAAAAAAATGATTTAGAAGAACCACAGATGCACAAAGAAAAAAGGGTAGGTCATCACAACAAAGAAATAAATGGACAATAATTTGTTTTCATTGTAAGTGGTTTCAATGAATTCAATGCTAAACATAAACTAAAGAATATTCAGAGCGATAAGCCTAATAATACAAAAGAACAATGTCCCATCTGCATCGCCCAGATACTGACACATTATAGAGTAATTTGATATCTCCATATTATGTATTAGAGGAAAAATCATTCTTGCAAGTCTAAATTCAATGTATTAATTTTTTTTAACCAAAGATTCCATATCTTAACCCACTGTATACGTAATAGCTCCTCACCAACCCAAATGACCTAAAACCATTCCAAAGAAGTAGATTAAAAAACAAAAACCCATTCTTGTTAACGGTGAATGTCATATTATAGTACAATAGTTCCCTTTGAGTCGTAATACTAATGCACAAGAGTATCTTGAAATTATGACCATATCACACAACACATACACGGCACTCAATATTCGAAAACTTAAAAAACAAATAATAGAAAATTAATAATAATATTTTTACGATTAATAACATAAGAGAAATTATCCAAAAACTATAAAATAACTAGTGAGAGAGAGCACATAGGATTGCTCAACTTTAACATGCATTAACGTTAATTAAAAACAATAATATAAATAAAACAATCATAGAAAAAATTAATTAGATTGGCAAATGAAATTATCATGATAGTCACAAGAATAATAATAGGAAAAATTGTAAAATAATGGAGTTTATAATCTCTCATAGAAAGATGATCATAAGAATTATCGATGCCTACATTTAAAAATATGTAATAGTTCAATGTAAATCCCATGCTTAAATTTAGAAAGCTAAATTACTCAACCTTAGAGTAATCATTATCATCACAGGCCAAAATAGCCTCATATTCCTCATTATCATCTTCTCCCACACAGCATAATCGTTGTTATCTCCTTCATCATCTTCACCTGTTAAGTATTCAAAGCCTAGATGATATTTCATTTTATTTTCCTTTAGACTAGCCTAACATGTAGTTTCTCTCATTAACACCGCTAACTCTTACAATAATACCCCATGCGAAGTTTCTTCACAAAACATTAGTTTAACCTGTTCATCAAACTAATCATCTGTTTATTCCTATAAACTAACATTAGCAACATCAATGAAATTCACCAAAATCTTTCTGTTTCAAAACACATGAGAAAATAATCATATTTGAAACAATCTTATGTATGTGGCCAAAACAACAGGGCTGGGTTGTACTTTTTTTAATTAAGGAGACCATTCCTCACTATAATAGCTTGGGGGTTTTCATTCCATGATCAAATTGTCCAAAAGCTACAAATATCATCGACAAGCTAATATACTTCATAATAGTAATGGGATACCCGCATCATACATCTATCACCAAAAGCAATTGGCCTGATTCAGGATAGCTCATGCACTACCCTACAAAGTGGAAATATCACGCACTATTTTACAGACCTATGCCTCTCTTCATAGTGCATGATGTGTGCCTCGCTATTCCATTTGTTATCGAAAATGTTAACTTGCACTATTACTAGTGTGACAAACTCATTGAGAAAAAGCAAGCACTCACTAAACATATATTTTATTTTAGGTTCCACCTAAAGCTTCCTCAACTATGTGCTTCGATCTTCTACTCTTAAATTGCTTAAGAATAGCTAATAGTAGAACAATTATTTTGGACTGCTCTGCAAACCTACCAGCAAAACTAGGGTTGTAAGAATAGTAGAATTGACATATTATCATAAACTAAATAAGCAATACATTTTTCATTATTTCTAGTTAATTAAACGAAGTCAGGTTTAATTCTTAAAAACTGGCACCAGAAATATATAAGCCACTTTCAATATCAGCTGCCAATAATCCAAACCGACCAACTAGTCAATCAAAAGCTCATATGCTTCATAGGATAATAACATAGTAGTAATATAAAACAATATGATGAAGCATAGAATAAAAATATTATAATGGTACTGGCTTCATATTTTTCTACTCTGATATTAAATAGGTTAAATGATGAATTAATAAAACCAAACAAAATTATCTCTTGTCAATTCTCAATTCCCAACAAAATTAAGCATAATTTATTTATCCCAAAGTCAAATACAATATGATCTATACTAATTAAAATAAGGATCCACGCAATCTTACCCATTTACACCTCTAAAAAACCCACCAAATAACAATCAAAAGGCATTTACAAAATACAAAATTACATCTTCTACCATATTACAATTTCTAAAGATTCCATCAAACTATAATTTTATAAAGACCAGCATCTTAAACTCATATATATAAGTCAAAGAAGAGATCAACATTATGATGCAACTTGGAAGCAAAGACAACAAAATAGAAAAGAAGAAAATGCATGAACAAAATATGAGGGCTGATTTTTTATTACTCATTCAACAATAACAAAATATACAATTGATCTACTATTCGAGAGGAAAATCAATTCTACCACAAACCCTAGCCGCTGCAAGGAAACTCACACTAAAAGAGGAAAAATAAACTTAGCACACATACGCTGAAAACCCTAGACAAAACTCCCCCTTAAATAGCCATAACATAATAAATACAATTAAAACCTGACTAAACAGCTCCCCCTTAGTTCCTCCTTACATAATGAATAATAACTCTCCTAACCACTCAAGCGGGGGGAGGGGATTATGGACCTGGTCTCGAAAAGAGGCTTGCTTTAAGTAATAACTAATTGAAGTAATAGCTATTTAAAATAAATTGTTGGGGCTACTACAGTAGCTTTCTCTTAAAAAATAAAAAAAGTAATCATTATTTAGGATTTTTTTTTAAATGTGTACAGTTGTTGTTGTACATTATAATAATTATATTAGTATGTAATAAATGTTGTATATTTTTTAACATATGAAAATGTTATTAATTAATTAATTAATTATGAGCTGATTAATTAGTGAAGCCTCATCAAGCTTGTGGCTCGATAAGCTTAAGCTCACGAGCTTGTTAACAAGCCTCATCAAGCTTGTGGCTCAACTCACTTACACCCCTAGGCCTGGCTGGGTTGGTCTGAGCTGGCCTAGCTACCGCTAGGAAACTCACACCAAAAGGGAAAAAATAAACTTAGCACCCATACAATGAAAGCCCTAGACAAAACTTCACCTTAAATAGCCATAATATACAATAAACACAATCAAAACCTACTAAATGGCTCCCCTTTGGTTCCTCCTTACATAATGAATAATAGCTCCCCTGGGCCCCACAAGGGGGGAGGAAATTCCCCCTCCCACTACCTTTGATTTCGCCTAGCCAAAAGGCTAGTTTGGCCTAGGCCGGCCTGGCTAGGGGGTGTAAATGAGTTGAGTCGAGCTCGAGTAGCAGCAAACTTGAGCTCGAGCTCGTGTCGAGCCCAAAGAACTAGCTTAAGCTTGACTGGTCCATTTTCTCTCATGCTCAAAAGCTCGGCTCAAGATGGAATCCAGGCTGAGGCTTTTGTCGTGTCTTCAGAGAGATGCGCCAGCTATGGAGAATGAAGATCAGAAAAGCTGTTCATCTTCCCTGGAGAATAAAGCTCGAAAAAAATGAGGAAGAAGGAAAGTGCGGAGTCTAAGGACCACTGATCTTTTTTTGGGAAAATTATGGACCTAGTCTTGAAAAGGGGCCTACTTTAAGTAATAACTAATTAAAGTAATAGCTATTTAAAATAAATTGTTGGGGCAACTGCAATAGCTTTTCTTGAAAAAATAAAAAGTGATAGTTATTTAGGATTTATTTAAATGTGTATAGTTCTTGTTGTACAGTTATTTATATATATATATATATAATCAATGATGTATATTATTTTAATATATATATTTTTTATTAA